TCTCTGCCCCTCCCCCGCTTGCATTCTGTCTCTTTCTCTTTCAAAAATAAACATTAAAAAAAATAATAAAGTGCGAGAAAACATTTAACTATGTAAATGTAACTATATATTAACTATGTATTCATTTTTGATAGACTAATCATCAGTTTCAAAATGCTTTTTAAAGTTAAGTTAATGTTAACTTTTAAGTTAATGTCATGTGTTATGTTTCCTTACGTTTGATGCATTTTATAGTTTCTAGAGTAATATTGTGTTTCAATCTCATATAAACCTTTTAGTTACATATCTGTAAAATGAGCATAATAATATCGACCTCGTAGGGTTACTGGGAGGAGGGCATTTTGAGGATTGAATGAGATACATTGCATGTTGAGTACTTAATACAGTGAGTGCTTGGCACATCAAAAATATTTATTAGCTATTTTTGTTCATTTAAACTGTTTTTCTTTAATTGTGTCTCATTTTTGTTTTTAATTATGCATATTTTTAGTTAAGGTATAATATCTAGTAAGGTGCATAAAGTTTAAGTGGATAGGGGCACCTGGGTAGCTCAGCTGGTTAAGCATCTGACTCCCATCTGGCCTCAGGTCATGATCTCTTGGTTCGTCAGTTAAAGCTCGGCATCAGGTTCTGTGTTGTCAGTGAGGAGCCAGCTTGGGATTCTCTCTCTGCTCCTCCCCTGCTCGCTCTCTCTCTCAAAATAAATGAGTAAACTTAAAAAAAAAAAAATTTAACTATACAATGTGATAAAATTTTAATATGTTTACATCCATGTCAACACCTTCTAGATCAGTATGCAGGACATTTTAATCATTCAGTTTCCCTTGTGCCCTTTCTCCATCAGTTCCTCTCCTTTTCCTTCTCAGAAGTAAAGATTATTCTGACTTCTATTATCATATATTAGTTTTGCCTATATTTGAACTTCCTGTAAAGGGAATCATACAGTATACTCATCTGTCTCTTTTTTTGCTTAACACATCACTATGAGATTCATCTGTGTAGTTGCATGTATGGGGTTTTTTATGCTCTGTAGTATTCCATTGTATGAACCTATGGCAGCTTATTCTGCACCAGATATCGTAGGTGTTTCCAGTGTTTGACTTCTACAAATAAAGCTGCTAGGACCATTTTTATGTAAATGTCTTCACTGGTGGATATTCGTGTTCATTTCTCTTCAGTTACGTGCCAAGGAGTAGAATTGCTGGGTCATGGGGTTGGTGTATTGCTAAACGGTTTTTCCAAAGTGGCTGGAAACATTACATTCCTACCAGCTATGAGAGTTTGAGTTGCTTCACATCCTGACCAACACTTAGTATTATCATGTCAGTCTTACTAATTTTAGCCATTCTGGTGGCTGTGTATTGGTGACTTCTGGTTTTAATTTGCATTTCCCTCGTGAGTAATTATCTTGAACATTTTTTTCATATGTTTATTGGTCACTTGACTATCTTCTTTTGTGAAGTGTACTCATTTAGTCTTTTCACCCATTTTTTAGTTAGGTTGTTTGCCTTTTCTTATTGATTTGTCAAATACATTTAATGGAAATATCTTCTCCCAGTGAGTGGACCGCATATTCACTTTCTTCACAATATCTTTTGGTGAATTGAAGTTCTTAATTTTAATGAAGTCAAATAAATCAGTTTTTTCTATGATTAGTGCTTTTTTTGCATTCTGTTTAAGAAATGGTCATTAACTCCAAGGTCATTAAGGTAGTCTTTTTTTTTTTTTTTTTTTTTTTTTTTTTTTTAGAAGCTTTTATTGTTTTGCTTTAGATGTATGCCACTTCTCTAATTTTTATGCATAGTGTGAGGTAAAAGTCAAAGTTACTTTTTTCCCATACAGATACTTAGTTGCTTTAGGACCATTTTTTTAAAAAGAGACCATACTTTCTACCTGATTTTCAATGGAGCTTTTGTCATGAATCAAGAGACTATGGGGCGCCTGGGTGGCTCAGAAAGTTGTGTCCAACTCTGGATTTCGGCTCAGGTCATGATCTCAGGGTTGTGGGATTGAGCTCTGCTTAGCGTGGAGCCTGCTGGAAATTCTGTCTCTCTTCCTCTCCTTCTCCTCCTCTGCTTGTGCGTGCTCTCTCTCTCAAAGATTAAAATAAAATAAAATTAATTAAAAAACTATGTGTGTGAATCTACTTCTGGATTTTTTTTTTGTTGTTCTATTGATACACTTGTCTATCCTTGTGCCAGTGACACATTATCTTAATTACTGTAGTTGCCCTTTTTTTTCCTTTCAAGATCCTCTTGGTTGTTCTAGGTCCATTGCATTTCTGTATTCCTTTTAGGATTCATTTGTCAATCTCTACATGTGTGGCTATGCCCGCATGCGCGCGCGCACACACACACACACACACACACACACACACACTGTCTCTCTCATCCACCCCTGCTGGGATTTTGGTTGGAATGCATTGACTCTATATATCATTTTGGTGGAGAATTAACATCTTAACACTATTGAGTCTTCTAACTATGAACATGGAATATTTCTCCATTTATTTAGACCTTTAATTTATCTCAGGAATGTTTTGTAGTTTTCAGTGTAGAACTCTTATATATTTTTCATTAGATTTATTACTAGGTACTGATATTTTTTGATGCTGTCACAAATGATATTTTTTTGGTAGTGAAAGAAAAATTTTTTGAACTTCGTATAATCATGACACTAAAAATGTTAATTTTAATTTTACTGAATTGTTTGCAAAAGGTACGGTTGGCAGCCATTAAAACCATCGCTGATGTTTTGTCTTCTTTTTTGGACTTCCAGTTTAGTTTAAAAAATCAATTAACAAATGGCACTTACAAAAAATAAAGTTTAGAAAAGAAACTTCAGAAACCTGGTTTTTTCTTTTTCGAGGTTTGTCTTCCATACAGTAAAAGGCACAGATCTTAAGTGTGCACTTTGGTGAGTTTTTTTGCCCTAAATATCCACCCATGTAGCCACTACCCAGGTCAAGATATAGGACATTTCCAGCAGCTTTAAGCCTCTTCCCAGTCAGTCCTACCCCTTTCCCATAGGTAACTGCGTAAGTCCTTGTTAGAAGACTTTTGTGTCATTTTGTGTCACTTGAAAGTGAAGAAGTAACTGCCTGAATTGTTATAAAGTGGGTCTTTTGTTTTCAGCAGAAACAACAGACTGATGGTGTCTTGGGGGTGTTGTTAATTGGAGTTAAACTATGATGTTTTTATTATACCAGAGGAATTATACTCTTCTATTTCATGGACGATATAATTTGACCTGTGTTATAACATAAGGCTGTATAGTAAGGAGCTCAGCAGTGAGGTTTTTAGTATAGATTCTTAACTCTAGTAAATACTGCTTTTGTTTGATCTTTTTCCTAAACACTTCCAAGTATACTTATTTTAGTGGTTCAAGCACAGTAGATGTAAGTATCTGTAGCAAAAATCTACTTTTTAGGGCTGATGCTTAGTAACGCGATAAAAAGTTGAGAAATTGAGGTTGGGGAAAAATTGAAGGTAGACAGATCGACAAGATTGGCCTCCTTGCATGTCTGATTTTATGTAAGTAGTGAACCTAGTGTATATGAGGCAATAAGTAAGTGGTGACTATGAAGCCAAAAAGTGCAAGCACAGACTGAAGGTCAGGGAAGATGCCCACTTGTTTTTAGGAAAATGCTAATTGTTTCCTGCTCTTAATATTTTCCCCCAGTGATTTTGTTGAAGAACATACATAAACCCCTAATGTAAGCACATATATACATGCATATTTTTAAGACTTTTACATTTTTTAAATTTATTTTTATTTTTTGAGAGAGCTTGTATGTGCACACACATACACACAAACCAGGGAGGGGCTGAGGGAGAGAGAGGATCTTAAGCAGTTTCCATGATCCATGTGGAGCCAGACTTGGGGCTCGATGCCATGAACTGTGAGATCACGACCTGAGCTGAAATCAAGAGTTAGCACAACCCACTGAGCTAGCTACCCAGGCACCCCTTGAGACTTCTTTTTATTTATTTATTTTTGAAAGAGAGAGACGGAGCGTGAGCAAGGGGAGGGGCAGAGAGGGAGATACAGAATCTGAAGCAGGCTCCAGGCTCTGAGTTGCCAGCTCAGAGCCCAATGCGGGGCTCGAACCCACGAACTGAGATCATGACCTGAAGCGAAGTCAGACGCATAAGTGACCCAGCCACCCAGGGCGCCCCAGAGACTTTTAAATTGGAGTATAACAGAGAGAAATGCACTAATTGAACGTGTTTTTTCAGAAAGGGAACATACTCGTTTAATAAAGTTCCTTTTGCGCTTTCTCCCACTCTCTACTCCCCTTAAAGGTAAACAGTGTCCTTCTGACTTCCAACACTACAGATAGGTATATACATGTAGTAATATAACATGTACTATGTTTGGTTGACTTTTGCTCAGCATAATGTTTATGTGATCCTTCCATATTGTATGGAGTGGGAAGTTTTTCATTCTCACTGCTGTGGTAGAGGTATATATTTGATTAGCTCAGATAATCTTAGGAAAAAGTTATCTGCTTAAATCCTTGTTTTCCTAAAGCAGTTTTCTAACACAGCGTCAATATAGGGATTAGGGTAGCTTTACTTACTGACATATAGAGAGAAACTCCGGTCCGTGAGGGATCCTGGGAAGGAGGAACATGCTTTTTCTTAAGAGCCAGTGCATCAACTGGGTGGTAAAGAAGTTACGAGCCTCCGTACATTGCCTCTGTGTTTTCTGAAATGTATTTACTTTTGCTAGTAAAAAGTTGGTGATTTTTTTTTAGGGTTATATACGTTGGTAATAACAGTAATAGATAGCTAACATTTATTGAGCTTATACAAGGTATAATAAGTACAATGCAACATGCTTGACTTAAGTCACCTGATTTTATTTTCACACAAACTAACGCTTTATTTGCATTCTGTAGATTGAGGGTTTCGGTCAGTGCAGACGAATACATTCTTTAAACTTCTCTCAGGGCACGTGGCCTCCATTTTCTGACGGTTTGTTCTTTTCACGAACAGGTATGTGATTGATGGCGCCACTGCTCTGTGGTGTGCAGCAGGAGCTGGACATTTTGAAGTTGTTAAACTTCTAGTCAGCCATGGAGCCAACGTGAACCACACCACAGTAACTAACTCGACCCCCCTGCGGGCGGCATGCTTTGATGGCAGACTGGACATTGTGAAATACTTGGTTGAAAATAATGCCAACATCAGCATTGCCAACAAATACGACAACACCTGCCTGATGATTGCAGCGTACAAGGGACACACTGACGTGGTCAGATACCTTTTAGAACAACGTGCCGATCCCAATGCTAAAGCACATTGTGGAGCCACAGCCTTGCACTTTGCAGCTGAAGCCGGGCACATAGATATTGTGAAAGAGCTGATAAAATGGCGTGCTGCTATAGTAGTGAACGGCCATGGGATGACGCCATTAAAAGTAGCTGCCGAAAGCTGTAAGGCCGATGTCGTCGAACTGTTACTCTCTCATGCTGATTGTGACCGAAGAAGTCGGATTGAAGCTCTGGAACTCTTGGGTGCCTCCTTTGCAAATGACCGCGAGAACTATGACATCATGAAGACGTACCACTATTTATATTTAGCCATGTTGGAGAGGTTTCAAGATGGTGATAACATTCTGGAGAAAGAGGTCCTCCCACCAATCCATGCTTATGGGAATAGAACTGAATGTAGAAATCCTCAGGAACTGGAATCCATTCGGCAAGACAGAGATGCTCTTCACATGGAAGGCCTTATAGTTCGGGAACGGATTTTAGGTGCTGACAATATTGATGTTTCCCATCCCATCATTTACAGGGGAGCCGTTTATGCGGATAACATGGAATTCGAACAGTGTATCAAGTTGTGGCTGCACGCCCTGCACCTGAGACAGAAAGGTAACCGGAATACCCACAAGGATCTTCTTCGATTCGCTCAAGTTTTCTCACAGATGATACATTTGAATGAAACTGTGAAGGCCCCAGACATAGAATGTGTTTTGAGATGCAGTGTTTTGGAAATAGAACAAAGTATGAACAGAGTAAAAAATATTCCAGACGCTGATGTCCACAATGCTATGGACAATTATGAATGTAATCTCTATACCTTTCTGTATTTAGTGTGCATCTCCACCAAAACACAGTGCAGTGAAGAAGATCAGTGCAAAATTAACAAGCAGATCTACAACCTGATTCACCTGGATCCCAGAACTCGGGAAGGTTTCACCCTGCTGCATCTAGCTGTCAACTCGAACACCCCGGTTGATGATTTCCATACCAATGATGTCTGCAGCTTTCCAAATGCACTTGTCACGAAGCTCCTGCTGGACTGTGGTGCCGAGGTGAATGCAGTAGACAACGAGGGGAACAGTGCCCTTCACATCATCGTTCAGTACAACAGGCCCATCAGTGATTTTTTAACCTTGCACTCTATCATCATCAGCCTGGTTGAAGCTGGCGCCCACACTGACATGACCAATAAACAGAATAAGACTCCGCTAGACAAAAGTACAACTGGGGTATCTGAAATACTACTTAAAACTCAAATGAAGATGAGTCTCAAGTGCCTGGCTGCCCGAGCAGTTCGGGCTAATGACATTAACTACCAAGACCAGATCCCCAGAACTCTTGAAGAGTTTGTTGGATTTCATTAAGTGACTGGATATGTAAAATCGTTTAATGTGGTGCTAAAAAGTAAAGGACTTTAATCATAGACAATAGAATTATGTGTTCATAAATTCTGCTTTTCTTTCCATTACCCTTCCTCCCTACCCATCCTTCCTTAGTTCTGTATTTGGTCTTTTTGCCTCATGATGTTGACTGATCTCAAATACACTTTAAACAACGCCACATTGTTTAGGTGTAACTATAATCTAAGGTGTCTGGATATTGGTCACTTTATCTTTCTTTCTTTCTTTCTTTCTTTCTTTCTCTCTTTCTTTCTTTCTTTCTTTCTTGAAGTATAATTGAGATACATTATATTAGTTTCAGGTGTACAACATAATGCTTTGACATTTGTATTTTTTTTTAAGGAATGACTATAAAATATTTTATGTAACAAGGGACGTTTATGATTTGAAGTCAATATTTTAAAAACTGCCTACAAAAGTATTTCTGTTAAGCCTGTGTCAGCGTGTTATCCTTGCAGCAGTTTTGAGGATTTCATGAAGAAGAACAACTAAAAAGGACCATAAGAGTAATGGGATACCCCGGTGTTCTGCGTGTGCCCAACTGCTGCACGTAGGTTTTGCTCTTCCAATATTTATGCGGAGTGATACGGCACATCATAACATCAGGAGGATTTCAAAAAATACAACTGCAGATTAATCTGAAAATGTGCTAATTTCATAATAGTTATAAATGTATCAAGTTAAATCCATTGGAATTATTGCATTATGCTGGGTGGTACACACAAAGGAGTAATAGTCTTAAAGCAATTTTTCAGAGAATATCGATGGACTTTTTGCCGTCAGGCTTAAATTCTAAAATTCTTTGGTCTCTGTTTTAAGGTAACTTCTCTAAATTGCAGCAGCCTGCATTTGAACTCAGCTCACAGACATGTAAAAATTATGAATACTGTGTTTTCTTATGAAACAAATTGTCACAATATAGTTACACCTTCTATTTTTGTCCCTTTCTCCCTTTCCTCCTGTGTGGTCTCTTTTAAAAATTGGAAACTACTTTTCCAGAGGGCACTGTTTGTGCCCCCCTCATAAGGTGTTTATGATGGATGAAAAGGAACAAGGATGTTTTTAATTTTTTCACTTTCTTTACTTTGTCCCTTATAATTAGTAGAAAAATCACTAGTGTGGTATAGGAAATGAAATGTTTTTGATGATAAAAGTAATTTGCAATGCTGTCTGGATGGTATTTCTGTCTGAGAGCTGAAAGTTCAACCACAAAATGTCACTGATTCTGATAGGCTGTGCAGAGGTCTTTTTGTTTTGTTTTGTTTTGATGGCAGCATTTTAAGTGTCAGACTAAAAGAGTATTCTGTGATTATCTTTTAAGCATCACAGAAATTCAAGTAAAGGGTATACACCTATTTCTATTTCTACTGATGTTAAAAAATGATAAAGTAAAATGAGCTATATCTGTATTTTTTCTCTCTAGTGCCAAATGAATGCCTTAGCTGCTCGTAGTGCATGGTACTGTAAGTGAAGACCAGCTTTTTTTTCGTTAATGAAAAGCATTATGATGCTGTAACATCAGCTATAAACTAAAAAACAAAAACAAAGAAACCCCAAATCTGTATGGTTTCAATGAGCATTTTATGTCTGCATATTGTTTGGTGAAGTATAAGAGAAAGGTTGCAGTTGAAACAGTATAAAGCATAAATGACCAAGCCAAAATTAGCACCTAGGGCCTTAAATAAAAGATACCCCACAAAATGAAATAGTTTGAAGGGTGGGAGGGATTGGAAGGGGGGGGGACCTTAGAAACTTTTTCCCCTAAGGATGCAAGATACCTTTATGGCCACTGTAGTTCTTTCTACTTCATGCTCTTGTTTCAGCTAGGAACGTTTTGATGGCAAATTCTGTCATGGTGATATATTTCTGTTTTCCTAACCTGAGGTCTTTACAAGGAGGGTTTTCAGGATGGTTTGAAGGGAGATACTTGAAAGAGCCCTAATTTGAAAGTTACTGGCCTTGATCCTTCCGGTGCAAATCAAGGAAATACTGTACCTTGCTCTTGGCAACTCTCGTGGCCTGAAAGAGAAAACGCACGTCCTCAAGGTGAGTGAATCACACCTTTTCCACAGCTTAGGTCAGACCCTGTATCTTTCAGACTTCAAGGCCTGTGTCTCTGACAGTCTGAGGAATGGCTATGATACTTGGTATTCAGTTGGTTCCATTATGAATGTGTATGATTTTTAAACACCAAAACTTAAAATATCAGATAATGTTGCATGTTTTAAAAACCATCCCTCTGGCTACCCAGGACCAGCACTCTTTTAGATCTTACGTATTCATAAAATGAGGATGATGATTATATGTACATATTCAGACATCAAAATTTAATGACAGTGCTTTTGAGAAGGGATGCATGCTGGAGAGCGCAGCTGCTGACTGGAGTGCCGACAAGGTTGGAGAGAGAGTGTGAAGACAGTGGGAATAAACTGTGAGCTCTGCTAATGGTAACATACTTTTCTACTGTAGTGTCGTAGTATGTTGTGCACTCCATTGCTAAGGATCTAATTCTGTCCTGTAAAATAAATCCAAATATGTATTGTGAAACACCTGTATAAAACCATTCTTGAAACAAGTGATCTACATGCCTGTTTTGTTTGTTTTTGGTAGAGTTATTTTAAGTATGTTTAGCCAAATCCTTCCCAAGCTTAAATGTTTTGTGTGTTTTAAAAAATTTATTATTATTATTATTATTATTATTTTTTTTTTTTTTTAGGAAAATAAATCGGTAAGAAAGGTCAATAGTTCTGTATCTCAGCTCATGAGAACTCCAGGCTGTCTCCATTTTCCAGCCACTTTTGTCATTTTCTGTTTATTTTTGGTAGAAGTATGCTTCGGATCGTAAGTCTTCCTTGATAATATTACAAATTCAGTCAAAACTTCTTTGTCTTGCTCAGTAATTGTCCTATAAATTTGGTTGAATGAGAGGCCCAGGAGGATGGATATCTGGGCAAACGAGGTGAAACTTAGGTGGGTTTTCCGTTTTTAAATAAGAGTTGGTGAAACTGAACCCTTGAATTTAGGTGACTCTTCAACTCAAGGAATGGGCAGCAAATCCATCCCCTCAATTGATTAAAGAAGGGGGAAATTTTTGTTGTGAGAACTCTGACACCACATGGTTTTCTTCACTCTACTCTGGATTGCTCCAGCAGGCCACAATCCCACTACCTTAAGGTTCTTTGCCGTGGGAACTTCAAACAAACGAGCCAAAAAAGCAAGCTTTGGTCTTGCTTGTTTCTGGGAAGGGTTTTGTTTCAGTGTACTATTAGTTGATTAATAA